TTTTATATATATAGAGAGAAAGAGAGCTCTCTACGCGCACGCGCGCACACACACACACACACACACACACACACACACACACACACACACTCACATCACACACACATNGTGTGCTCTCTCTCACTCGCGAGCGAGAGAGGTGCTCCATATCTCTTTTATCTCTCTCTCTCTCTCCCTCACACATAAAAAACGCCAGCGTGCCCCCTCTCATCTAGAGAGGGCAATGTGAAACACACACGCGCGCGCACACACACACACACACACACACACACACACACACACACACACACACAGGCTGAGGAACATGGTGCTGCTGATGGTATCGGAGTCTCAGGTCTGATTGTTTCCACATGTGTGTGTGTGTGTGTGTGTGTGTGTTCTGTGCTCCGCCTTACACTGCGCTCGCTGTGATTTTCCTCATTGGCATCTCCTGATCTGAGGCTGGACTCTGCCGTTAGTTTAATGTAAGGCTGAAATGGAGGCAGATATCAGAGATCTGCAGCACATCACCCGCTCACCATTCAGCAAGAGCACACCACAAGTGTCTGATGTACAAGAGTGTGTGTGTGTGTGTGTGTGTGTGTGTGTGTGTGTTTGTGCACATGTGCTGCTTTACGAGATCCTCCATGCTCCAGTAATTAGTCAGTGATCGTGTTGTTTGTTGTGTGTGGTGTGAATGTGTTGGCAGGAGGGTTTCTCTCTCACGCTTCACAGTGTTTACAGGAGAAATGCCCACAGATGCTTTAAGCTCTGCTTTTACTCGAGACGTCCGACATTTTGTTCTGTACACACTCACTAAAGTCATTAACAGTAAACTACCCTCATAACTAACAGATGGCGTCAGTGTTGGGGCAGGTTTCCTCTGAGAGTGAAGCATTGCGATACTGAGTTCCTCCACAAACATCACCCAGCGGCATGACTCTTATGGTAAGCAATGTGTTGCGCTACTATATACTACTAATGTTCATTCACTGTCCATCGAGACTCTAATATCCTTCATTTTCTTAAATGTGTTCAAAATAATGAACGTTCTCTCCTCGACTGCGGGACTCACGGTCAATACTTTATTTTAATTCAGCAATTTATTTTGAAAAGCTCTTTAATTAAACTAAACTTGACTCTTATACTGAGACTCAGTTTAATAAAGTAATGCGTCACTTTACTTGTTACTACAGTCCTATTATGAAGGTAACTCGCGCTCCCCCTCTGCACACAAGCCTTTCTCTCTCAGAGTGTGTGTCTTGTGTCTAGTCCAGATATCTACAAACTCTTCCATCAACACAAGCACAGACACATGGTGTGGTGTTCAGACATGATGAGTCAGAATTGTGTGAGCTTTCATCAAACAAGCAGAATAATCTTAATCTGAACACAGATCACGTCCCCCATCGGCAGATTCAGGGTTACTATAGTGAGTATTACACTCGACATGTTACAGCATCTGTAGTGTTGACTATAGTGAACTGATCAACTGTGATGAACACTGCGGAGTGCTCTAGTGTTTACTGCAGTAGACTCAGACAGACAGAGTCCAGATAACTCGCTCAGGATTACAGCCATCAGCTGTGTGTGTGTGTGTGTGTGTGTGTGTTTCCCATCCCCTGGGCAGCATGGAGCTCTGGGAAACTAGTAAAGAGAGTGTATGTGTCTATTTGTGTGTGTGTGTGTGTTTTCCTCTTCTAACCCCTGGCTCTTCCTGCTCTCTCCATCATTCTCTCTCTCCCTCAGTCCCGGAGTGTTTCCCACAGTGTGTGACGGCTGTATTTCATGCTCTGTGTTTCTGGCAGGGATAAATCAGAGGTCATCAGAGGTCAGCGCAGGACCACGGGGAGACAGGACATTCCAGCGTTTGGAGGATTAGCATACCGAGAGCGAGGAGCCCGGAGACATGTTCCAGCGCTGAAGACACAGCCGGCCGTCAGAAACAGACCTCTGGAAACATTGTGTTTAAAGACGGCGAGGAATAATACACAGATGAGGACACACACACACACACACACACACACGCACGCACACGCACGCGCA